AAAAAAAAAAAAAGCCATTCTTCACTCTCCGGTAGGACAGAGAGCAGGTAGGACGCGGCGTTTGGTCCGAAGGCAGCGGTCTGCTCTGCTTGCTCTCCAGGGCATGGGCCTAGGAGGGGAATTCCCGGGTTGAAGGGTGGCAGGTGTCTTTAACTCTACTGGGCATTGCCAGACGCTCTTCAAAGTGGACTCTGACCAGACGACAGACTTCCGGTTTCCCCAGTGCTCTATCCCATCAAAGCTCTCCGCTTAACCGCCCAGCTCCAGCTGTGGTTTCATTTGTTTGTTTGTTTGTTTTTTAAGATTTCATTTTATTTATTTAGCAGAGAGAGAGAGAGCGAGAGCAGGAACACAAGCAGGGGGAGTGGGAGAGGGAGAAGCAGGCTTCCCGCCAAGCAGGGAGCCTGATGCGGGGCTCGATCCCAGGACCCTGGGATCATGACCTGAGCGGAAGGCAGACGCTTAACGACTGAGCCACCCAGGCGCCCCTGTGGTTTCATTTGTAATCACATTATGAAACATGAAGGTACCATGCAGTGTGTTCCTGAGCACTAAACCGTGCTTTATGAAAGAAAATATATACAAATACCAGCATGTTTTAAGTTACCCATTATCCTTCCATTCAGAGAGAACCAAAGTTAAAACTCGGCACCTGTCATTGCAGATTTTTTCCTATTTATACACACACCATTAATTTACCTGTTAGAGGCTAACGCTATATATTACTGTTTTGGAATCTGTTTGTCTCACATCCTGAATTTGTATCAGGTTGCACGTGATGTCCTGGGCATCGTGGAGCCCTCACCTTTGTGTGTGGCCGTCTCCCGGAGCTTTCTGGCCTCTAAGGAAAAACTTCCCTGGCTCGCTCCCCTCCACCCTGAGTGTGCTTCTTCTAGGAGTTGAGAAGAGGGTTGAAATGTGAACGAAAAATACCAGTTCCCTCTGGCAGGTGCCACTTGGGATCCATTCTCCTTTTACTGTCAGGACACTCTGCTTGGCACAACTCCATTGCCCAGCGTCCCCTGCAGCCAGTGGCAGCCTGAGAAGATTCTGCCAGGGTCCCCATCGTTCCGCTGCCACCTGTCATCACACTCACAAAGTTTTATTATGTAGAGAAATCTTTCTTTGAACCCAGGTCTCTTCAAAGGTGGAAAAGGGAGCCGATGAAGGCAGGCCCCGTGTCCCTCACACCCAGCCTTGGCTCCCCACCTGGCCCCGGCAGGGTCTGGGCACCTGGTTTGGCAGCCCAGGTACAGGTAGGGTCCCAGGTGGGATATATTCTCCCCACTTCCTTCTTTGGCTGGGGGAGCGGGAATGGGATGAGTTGCAGGGTTGGAAGGAACTAAGGGCCAGCACTGGCTTCCCTGCCAGAAGGCCCAGGCCTGGGATCAGGACAGGCTGTCCTACCTGCTTTCGCTTTCTATTCCGTGTATTTCTTTTTTTGTCTGTGCCTGTTACCATAAGCAGCTTTGGATGCCTTTTGGAAGAATGAGGGGGTAAAACTAAACGGAGGCTGCAGGCTTCCCACGGAGAATGCCTCCACCACCTTCCACCAGACTCCTGCGGCTCTGTGGCTTCAGAACCTGGGGATGGGCCCGCGTGTTCCTGCTTCCACAGCCTGGGAGGGGCGCACGGGGGCTCACCTGCAACCCCAGGCAGCAGGAGACCAGCAGCCCAGGGAGCCCTGGGGAGGACGGACTCCTGGCACCTGTGGGCGGTTGCAGCTGTGGGCTGGCTGGAAGCTGGGCCTGTGCTAGATCCTTCCACTTGGGGCAGGAATAGGCCCAGGCCTGCCTGATCCGAAGCCCACCGCACGGCTCGGGCAACACGTCTGCTGCTGCGCCCCTCACCCCTCACCCCAAGTCTGGTAGGTGGTGACACAGAGCTGAGTCCAGGAGTGTGTGACCCATGCTATTTGCCACCTGAACCAACAAACACAGAAACTGCCTCTGATCCAGTAGCATTCACTTTTATTTCTAAGTATCCAGTGACATTACTGTTTTCCAGTCATTTCTGCATTCTTTACAGAGTCCAGTGAGATGAAGCAGGGGCTCTCGCATGGCAGCCACAGGGGCCCCGTCCCTGACCCACCCCATGTGAAGCCCCATCCCGAAGAGCAGCAAATCGTTTCTCAGGAACCAGGACCTAACCAACACCTCACAACTTACATGGGGGAGGACAAAGAATAAGCCTGACCTTCCCAAAGGTCCTTAAAACAAATCAAAAAGCAGTACTTAAAAAAATAACCCTTCATTTTTACAAAGAAAATCACTTGGAAGAATACAAAGAACAGATCAAGCTTGGCAGGGGCCGCATCGGAGACCTTGTCCCCTCCTTGGGGGAGCCACGGACCTCGGAGACCTTGTCCCCGCCTTGGGGGAGCCACGGACCTTGGAGCCCGGAGGCGAGGAGGAGCCGTAGAGCAGGCCTGGGGCTTCCAGAAGGGACTCTGCCGCAGGGCCCACAGGCTCATGGGGGCACGGGCCCACATAGGTGACAGGTGCGCTTGCTCACGCACGGACCAGGCCAGCTCCCCGGTGAGAGAGGGCAGCGAGGGCCAAGAAATGGGGTGGCCCCGGGGACACTGTCAAGCTGGCCTTTTGTCACGTGGCCAACGGCAGCGGAAGCTCCTGACTGTCCAGCTCCGCTTGCGTGAGAGAGCGGGCACCGGGGTGGAGTCCTCTCACTGGGGCTGGGGCCGTTTTCGTTTAAGACAGTCCTGGCTGGGGCTTCGGAGAGCGCGGCGCTGGGAGAGCAGCGGGGCAGGGCGCGGGCTGCTCGGGAGGGTTTCCCACGCCGCCGGCCGGCGGGAGCCACACGCCAACGGTGGGGGGGCGGGGGCCCCTTCTCTCCCTCGCTCTGCGATTGAAGCCCGAATAATGGCAGATCACTGCTGCCGATTCCTCCTTGCTCTTGAAGCAGGGCCCAGCTCTGAGGCCTGTACCTGTGACATCCATGACTTGGGAAGCCGGCCACCACCCCGCGCCACCCTCACTCGCTCCACCCAAGCGGAAGCGGCAGTGGCCAGCCCGCCGAGGACTCTGCCAAATGGCCCCTGTGCGCAGGTGGAACTGAGACCTCACGGGGCCAAGGGTGCCGACGGCCCCTCCGACGTAGGTTTCAGGGACAGGAGGCTCCCCACTCACCCATCTTTCCACACTTCACTGCGCACCAAAGACTCTGCAGGCAAACCAGGGCCTCCCTAGGCTGACGGGGGTACTCCGGGGCGGCCACCATTCTGGGCCAGGCCCTGCCCCTTGGCCTTACGTCAGCCAGGGCCTGGCCAGCACTTCCACTGTGCAGCGAGGCAGCTGGACTGGGTGCGGGAGGTTTCTTTGTTCTGCCATCGGGCTGAGTGTCTGAGCACCCGACCACGGAACTGAGCCACCTTCCTTCTACCTGGCCCTGGCTCAGCCCAGCCTAAAACCTGATCTCTGGGGACCTAGGACAAGCCAGCTCCTTTCCCTGTCACGCCCCACACCGCAAGCCTCGGGGTATGGTGGTTCCCAGGGGTCCTACAACGACAGGGCCGCACGGGGAGCCTTGGGTGTGCGGCTTGTCGCCACACGGCTCCCCAAGACCAGCATGTCTTCTGAGTTCACTGGCTACCCGTCCAGCTTCCCCACAGGCACTCCCAGACTTCAGAGCCTTCAGCTCGCTCTGAAGTATGACCTTGTCTGTGTGCTACAGCTCTCCCATGGCCTAGACCTAGAAGGAAAGAAATCTGTGGGACATCGTAGTTATGCTGAGTATCTTTTTATCTAGTAGGCATTTATTGCCCCAAATAGAATTATTAGGTATGTTAAGGTGGACAGCAGCAAATTTCTGATTCTCAGGCAGACACTTGAAAAAAATCCACCAGGAAAATATATCTCCATGGGCTCTGCCTGTGGCAAAGGTGAAGAGACAGACCTGAGGAACACCGGTTGCCCCGTCCCCATGGGAATGCGCTCCAGCCCACCAAAGCCTCCCTTCAGCAGGGGGGCAGAAGAGGCTCACGGGAGACCCAAGCTGGTGCTGGGACCTGCCAGGAAAGGTGCCCCCTGCCCACTAAGCCAGGCCTTGGGGACCTTCCACCTTGGGGACTCTTCTCTACTACGGGGTCATTCCCAGGTCTCAGCTAAAAGTAGGAGGCCAGGTGGGCCCTGGTGACAAGGGGGCAGTCTGAATTGAGAAGATCCTGTTTTCACTGCTTTATCTGTGCATTCATAGCCCCCGCCCCACCAAATTTTCTGGTAAACTATTGAGTTTGCCATGCAAGTTACACTTCTGAGCTCAGACCCCGAACTTCAAAGGAGAAGGTAATGACTTATGGATTGGGGAACGCTCTAGTCTTGGATCCCTGCCCTCCCCTCACCAGGTGTGGACAAAGGTCCCCTCCCTCTTTGACCTCTTCTCTTACTTTTCCACTAACATTAAGTAGGAAATGATGGAGACCAGAATTATGCACGATATTACTCCTCCAGTGAAGGTGTTAGGTGGAGTAAAATACTCCCATTTGGCTTAAATTATGGGGTTAAAGTGGGAGGTTACAAAAAGACAAGTGACCATATTTTAACCCTATCAAGTACAGATTTACTTTTCATGCATAAAAAGGAAACCACGTGCTTCCTGCCTGACCGGCCTCATACTTCGGGCAAAGGGGTCTGGCCTGGTGGGCTCTGAAGTCGGTCCTTCCTGACAGACAGAGCCACGCTGTCTGAGGCCCGTGCTGGCCCACTGCGTCCCTCCAGAGAACCACGGACATGCACATGACAAATTAAACCACCCCAGGCAGTGACCCTGAGCCACCCAGGGGAGTTGCCACTGGCCCTGTGGCTTGCAGGGACGAGGTTTGTTAAGGGCAGGGGAGGAGCGGAGGTGAAAGTCAGTAACTGCACTCCGCCTGGACATGACCGGTAGCCAGGGCCGGGCCCACAGGGACGGGGCGGGGCGTGTGAGACCGAACGAGCACGTACAGATGCTCTGCGAGCGAGTCCTGGGCGGGGGTGGCCGGGGAGGAGCACAGGGCCCTGCTGCTCTGGCCCCGGCCCTAGGGCTCTGGCGAGCTGGGACCCAAGCCGGGAGAGATCTGGGGCAGGGAAAGAGGAAATGCTGATTAGGAGTGAAGGTGGCATCAGGCGAACAGTGGGCCTTAGGAAATGGGGCCTCTGGACCAGTGAGGTCCACTGAGCGGGGGAGGTGACCGCTAGGCTCTCGCTGCTTTGTCAAAGTGCATGAATCACAACGGAATTCAGACAGCAGACGCAGGCCTGCACAAGCCCTGTAACTCCTAGCTTCTCCCTCCAGAGGGCGCTCTCACTCCACAGAATAGGCTCGCTCCCCGCCAAACCCAAGGATGCGGCTTCCAGTGGGGCTCCCAGGACGGGCGGTGCGCCCCTGCTCTGAACCAGCGTAAACATCCACACTACTCCCAGAGGAGGGCAGTGGCCGCCTGTCGCTCAGGGGGACGGCCTGCAAGGTCCCAGGCGGAGGTAAAGAAAAAGGTCACTCGGTTTTTCCTTCTCAAGCAACATCACAAAGGGGAGCGTGAGGTTTCCCAGATGCCCGAGCCCGCCCCTTGGGTCAGAACTGCTGCTGCTGAGACCAGAGGCACCTTGATGACCAAAGGGAAATGGCTCCTCGTGCTGCTAGAACCAGGCGCTCCCGTGATGAGGGCCGAGGCTGGGAATGGCAGAAGCTGCAAGCTCCCCCAGCTCCCCGGCAGCCCCTGTCCCGGCAGGCTCCACAGCGGGGCACAGCCTCTCCTCTCAGGCCCCTCAGTCCGGCAGAGGACTCTGCACCCTGGCCGCAGAAGCAGAAGGAAGATGTACCTGGACAGCTGTTCCCTCTGATCTGCGGGCTGAGAAGGGGTCCGGCTCCGTGCAGCCCGGGGACACGGCCTACTTCAGAAGCAGACAGCCGGCTCCAGGGGCCGGGGGCGGCCTCCGCATCCCCCTGCTTCCATCTCCCCTGAGGAGGCTGCCACGTGCGAGCGTCTGTCGTGGGAGCGGCGAGGAGGCCGGACGGGCGCCCTGCTCCGTCACAGCAGCTCCTGCTCGTCGTCTTCGGAGCCGGAGGGGCCCTGGCGCACCTCCTCATACCACTTGTTGGTGAGGGTTTTCATCTGGATGCGCCCATGGTGGAGGTCCTGGAGCAGGAAACACAACCAGGGCCTTGTCAGTGGGTCTGGGTCAGGGCAGGGGTAGGGTCGGGGCCGAGGGACAGGGGAGCTGCCGTGTACCTCGCGGGGGTGTGGGGGAGACGGGACGAGGGGCACGTGGCCACAGGCAATTTCCAAGTGCTAACCAACCAACTCAAGCTGGGATTTTTCTCCGTGGGGGTGAAGATAACAGGAGGCGTCACTCAGAGACAGGAGCAGGAGGCCGGCTGGTGTGATGTTAACAAACAGGGCTCTGCTCCCACCTCTGCCGCGTCTTGGCTGTGTGACCTCGGGGGGGTTACTGCACCCTCTCTGGGCCTCGGTCTCCCCAGCTGTCTGGTGAGAGAGAAGCTGCAGCTACGACACAGGTTGTTGGGAGGACGAAGCGAAGCAAGAGAAATTCCCATGCTGACAGCAACCATGACTGCCCGGGGCGGGAACATGGGCTCGGAAACGAAGGGACGAGACTGTGTCATTCACTGTCGCCCAGAGGCCAGCAGTCCCCAGAGGGATGGAACAAGAGCCCTGAGCCGTGGGCCACTGCCTGAGACCCCGGCATGTTTGAAATTTTCAGCTCAGATTCAGTAGCTGATCAGGGTCCTGCGTCTATCACCCAGGAAAACCAAACTGTGTTAACAAGCCTATCATTAAACCGCCACTAAAAACGGCAGTGAAGGAAAAACAGCAGATGCCGAGTTCCACAGCGTATCCAGCTGCCAGCCCGGGAAGAAGGCCGAGCTGCTGGGGGTGGGTGGCCTGGCTGGCCCCCCCTGCGCACCCCGTCAGCCCCTGCAGATCCTGGGGGAGGGAGGCCGGGGACCCCTAGCCGTGCAGCGCACGCTGGTGTCCCACCTCCTGAGTTAGCCGCCGCGTGAAGAAGGGGTTCAGGTACTTGGCGTCCAGCCACACGAAGCCTTTGAGGTCCTGCCGCCTGATGTAGTGGGCTTCATACTCCTCCTCTGTGAGCTCCGACAAGTGCTCTGACTCGATGGTGTTGCCCTGTGTGGGGAGGGAAGGTCGTCTCATCTCAGGGTCGTTGGCTGGCCTCTTCCAGGGTGCACCCCTCCTCGCCTACCCAGCAGCCACCTGTGTCCCCAACCCTAACTGTGCTTTCGAATCAGTGCAGGGCATCTGTGGGCAGCAAAGCGCCTCCTGGGAGCCCGCAGGGAGGTGGGAAGGTTTATAAAAACATGATGGATACCCAGGAATAAATCAGAATTATGAATAAATCAGAATTTATTTGTGGGCCGGGGTTTGGTTTGTAAGCTTTCCAGGTGATTCTAATGGGCAGGCAGGACTGGGAACTGCCATTCTAGGTGATTTCATTCGCAGCAAACTGAACAAGGGAGGCTCCTTTTGTCATTTTTGCTGGCAGTTGCACTAGCTGGGGTTCTGCTCTGGGCTGGCTCTGGCCGGCCTGTCAGTGTGTGTGTGTGTGTGTGTGTGTGGCGGGGCAATCCTGGGGGGAACTGGAGAGGAATGAGGGCAACTACCCCGTGGCAGGGCAGGTCTGCAGGGGGAGGAGGTCTCCCGGGTTCACCGGGTCAATGCCAGCACATCTCCAGGCCCCAGGCCCAGGACAGCCCCACCCCCTGCAGGGACGACCCGAGGCCACCAGGGTGTGAATGTAGCATCTGCCACGCAGCTGGAGGAGCGGCTCTGAAGCCACAGCTAAGTGGCCTCCACTGGGGGCCTGGGGGTGAGCAGGTGCAGGGTGTGGGAGGGGGCGGGGAGAATCACCTGGAGGGCTTATGAACCCACAAAATGCTGGCCGCCCCCAGGCCCACCTGCAGAGCTCTGATTCAGCAGGTCTGGGATGGGGCCCACTAATTTGCATTTCTAACAAGTTTCCAGGGACCTCCACCTTGAGAGTGTTGATGGAGAGCGTGGTGGTGAAGAGCACAGACTATGGAGTCCGTGACCCCTCTGTGCCTCAGCACTCTTGTCTGCAAAATGGGGATGAGCAGAGAGCACCTGCTTCCTGCGGGTTATCAGGGCGACCTGAGATGGTGCGAGGAGAGCACAACCACAGTGCCTGTGCCGCAGAAAACATTCCCTAAATAGCAGCTGCTCTTCTGCTGGGTAAACATCCTGGTTCTGTGGGAGCCAGGCTTCAGCAAGCGTGGCTGCGGGGCCCGCAGGGTAGCGGCACCTGGCAACCTGCTCAAAATGCAAATTCCCTCCGGCCGCAGCCCAGACCTGGGAGACTGGGAGCCCTCCACTGATTCTGCCACCCTCTGAAAGGTCTGAGAACCTGTACTGGGGCTGTTGTTAAGAACAGGCCAGAAAGTTGGGGGATGGGGGTGGCCGGAGACGGGCCTCCGAGAGAAGGTCCCGCTGAGCCAACCCCACCCGCCTGTGACCACCCGAGGGCTTCCTCCCAGCAGGGCCTTGGCTGAGACACAGGCCAGGGCCACACAGAGGCCTGAGACCAAGATCCGGCCAGACCTGAGCTCCCCCGCGGGAAAGTGGGCTGTGTCCCCGTCACTGTCTCCCAGTTGAGGATTTCTCTGCTTTCCTTGACTGAATATTAAGTTACTAATGGCCTCAAATAAGGGAACTAGAAAAAGAGGTATTTCTAGAACTGGGGGTGGGAGGGCGGGGGCGGTGCAGGAAGGTGGGCTGAGAGGCCAAGGCCAGCCTCTGCTCCCGTCAGGGAGCCTGGCTCAGCACAGGCGGCCTAAGGGTCAACACAGGGCAAGGAGGCCCCCACCGCCGCTGACGCCCGGGACAGACAGCCCCTGGCAGGGGCAGCCACAGGGGCAGGAGGGGGGCTGGGAGGAGGCAGGGATCTGGGAGCCTCCGGCTCTCTGCAGCTGGGCCCTGGACACCTCGCTGGTCTGTCCTTGGGGGAAGGCACCGCAAGCACCTTCCCCTCCTCAGGCCCCCAGCAGGAGGCTTTCAGTAAACGTTGTGGGGGAGGGGGATGACGTGACTTTAAAACCTTCCACAGGGTGGTGCCGGGACAGCCTGATGTGGGTCCACGCTCCCACTCCACGGCCTCCGGGGACAGACAACCCACAAAGGGCCGCAGAACTCCAGTTCAACCTCCTTCTGAGTGTGTGTAGGCGCCGAGATCCTCAAATCGTGTCTCATTTCCCCACTTCCCAGCTGCGGTGGAGACCAAGCCCCTGCCCCCGCCCCGGGCCCCCGTGGCACCAACCATCTTCTCGGTCTTGCTGAGGATGACGTCCTTCTTGTTCCTGCGGCGCGCCTTGGCGTCCTCGATGTCCACGAGGCGGATGAGGGGCATGGTGCTGCCGCCCAGCAGCAGGATGGTGAAGAGCACGATGATGATGGTGGTGGTGCCGATGAGCTGCCGCTTCTCCATGGGCTCCAGGTCCAGGTGCAGGCTCAGGGCGTAGGGGATGGCCCCCCGCAGGCCTGGGGGCAGGGAAGGGGGTGAGAGGAGCCGCGTCACTGACCGGGAGCCCTGGGGATCTGGGCTCAGCCCTGCCTCGCGCCAGTCGAACGTTCGAACACATCCTGCTGTGGAGGGCGAGCTCCTCCCGTGAGGCTCTGGGCTGTGAGGAAAGCAGGCTGCAGAGAAGTGGGGCCTGACCGCACCCATTTCCACCTCACGGGGTGGCCACGTAGGTCGAATGAGGTGACCCGTCCCGGCCACGAAGCACCAGGGGCACGTTCGTGCGTGTCTGAGGGCTCGTCCAGCCCGACGCTCACGTTTCAGGAGCCCGACAGCCGGGGCAGGCCAAGCTGTCCCTGCGCGGGGCCGGGCCCTGTGCTGAGGGCTCTGCGCGCAACCCCCCCCCCCCCCCCGGCCCTTCACGGCGGGGCTGGTAAGGCCGGCCTGCCGTTCTCCAGCGCATGCAGATGAGGGAGCGAGACTGAGGGAGACCGAGGGAAGGACGCGTCTCCCGGGGCCACACAGCCTGCCAGGCAACAGCAAAGAAGGCGATTTATCCAACGGCCCCTCGTTTCTGAAGACGCGGCTCTTAAGCAGCTCCTGGCCGCGCTGACAGGCTCGGGGCTGCTCTGCTGCGGGCCGGGGGCTGCTGGGAGCTGCGTCATGGCCTCTTCCTCACTTTCGGTTGTGCTGCCCTGCGTGGGCCGGCTGGGCTGAGGGGCTGCGCTGAGCTGGGAAGCAGCACTTCCCGGGGAACGTCCTGGCCTGCCTGGTGCCCCACAGAGGGGAACAGGTGGGGAGACCCCAGGCGAGGGCTCCGGTGCCCGAAGAAGGGGAGAACGGGGCAGGGCACACAGTGGAGGGTCTGACAAGACACGGAGGCCGGAGCATCACGGAAGGAGGGGGTTCTGACCGCAGCAGCAGCGCACACCCAAGACGGGGACACACAAAGGGGACGGAATTGAGAGAGACACGGAGAGTGGAAGCTACAGGCCACAGGGGTGAGCGGGAGGTGGGGTGGCCAGGGGAGGGAAGGGCACGGACGACGGCGGGGTGTCTAGGAGGCCGTGCTGCGCGGCGGTCTGGGCGCGAGGCCTGGAGTCTGGCTCCTGGGGTCACCCCCAGGCCTCTCGGGCCGAAGTGACGGATTCAACTCCACCTCTCCACCTGTCACGCGGGACTAGAAACAGGGCCTGCCGGGTCGGTGGCCGGAGGACAAAACGCTCAGCACAGGACAGCTGTACACCCAGCCAGCGCTGACTCAGCCACACCTCTGCTGTGACACACGTTCTTGTCTCCTGTGGGAGGCGACGCTGGCAAAGAAGAGGCTGGGCAGGAAGGTAAATTCAGTCCTAGACAATGAGATCTCCACAGCGTCGAAGGAGGATTTAGACACGAGTCGAGATCTAAGAGCAAACAGCTTTGGGAGCGTGGGAACTTGATGGACGTTGGCGCCACAGGGATGGGTGAGCTTGTGAGAACACAAGAGCAGAAGCAGGTCTGGGGCTGAGTCCTGAGGACGCCAGCGTTTGAGGGGTTGGTAAAGGAGGAGGGGAACCTGAGAAGACCCCAAAGGGAAGGAGGGCAACCAGGAGCATGGCCTGGAGGCCCAGGGAAGAGGGTCTCCAGGCAGAAAGCAGGTCGGTGGGAAGGAGGAGCTCAAAGCCGTGGAGGTGGACCGGACGAGGGCTGCCCCGTGCAGGTCTTGGCTGCAAAAGGTTGCTAGGTGACCTGGGTAAGGCCAAGTTCAGGCCCATGAACAGGAGGTGAGGAAGCAGAGAAAACAGGGGAGAACAGCCCACTTAAGGAGATCTGGCTGCAATGGGAGACGGGAAGCAGCTGGAGGGGGTGTGCGGAAGGGATTTTGGTTGAAGTTGCTGGTTTTTTGCTGGGAAAGAGAAGAATCTTCAAGAGTTTCAATGATGATGTCTCAGTAGAGACAGAGGTTGAAGATCCAGGAAAGAGGGTGAAAATCTGTGGTGAGAGGGCTTGGGATGGCCTGGGACATCAATAGCTGGGACCAACAGCTCTTCACTGTTTAAAACAGCACCCCCATTCCCCACAGAGGTCTCTTATCATGCCCGCCTCTCCCAAACTGCTCACACAACCATGTAAAGGATCTGATACATCCCTTAGACTTTGAGATTTTTAAGACTTTGGGTCAACTACTCTACAAAAAATTTTTTTTTCTCGTTGGCAAGAAAGATTGAGAAAAAGTTTCTCTCACTAAACATACATACATACCTCACACACACATACATATGTATATATTTTAAACCAGGTCTTTTGAAAGAGGAGAGAAATCTGTGAGAAATGTACAGATATGCTGTTGGATAGAAAACAGCTTATAAAGCATGTTGCTGTACCCCGACCCACACGGAATAATTATAATATTTAAATAAGAAAGTACAAAGAACTGGATGTATTGCTCAAAAATAAATTTAAAGATGCCTAAGGATCCAGTTCGTTAGGAGCCAAAGATGAAATCATTCCCATCCTTTAAAGAGTACAGGAATTTGCACAGAAACTGAAAATGTTCCAATCAGCTCTCAGAACTCTGACTGAATGAAAAAAAATATCCAAACCTGGCCTGTAGCACGAAAGAGTTTAAACTTGAACCTTTTTTTCTTTTGAGCCCCTCACTACTTGCAGGCGGGTGAGGGCTGCCCCCTGCGTGTCCTGCCCCGGACTGCCCGTCCGCCGAGAGGAGTGCGAACAGGACAGTAAACCTTGGCTCCACCTCCTGTCATCACAGGAACCCAAGCAAGTCCTTTGCCCTTGAATCTGAGCTTCCTCATGTGTAGAAGAGACCTGCACTACCCATTTGTCTTGCAGTACAGAGCCTGTGAGGGGCACTGTCTGTGAGGGACTCGCCCGGGGCTGGTAAATGGGGGGCCAGTATGATTTTTGCCTTATGAGGGGCGCCCGGTTTCAAAGGGCTCCAGCAGAGACCACATGTGCTCTCTACACCGTGTGTGCCCCTATAAGAGCTACTTTCCTTCCAGTGTTCGTTCAACATTGGACTTACCGCTAAACCACATGATGAACATCATCTTCGGTGTGATTTTATGATCACGGAAGAAATTCAGGAGGTAGGAAAGAGGGAAAATGTTCACTGCTCTGCCAAACAGTACAAGCACCTGTGAATAGCAACAAGTTTTAGTCTTAGACAGAAACCTCTGGTCTTTTTCAAGCTGAAGCTTGTTGAAGCGAACACAGACCTTGTGACATGCCCATAGTAAGTGCAGCCCTCCCCCTGGCCATGAAAGACATGAATGACAGGGCTAGGCAGAGGCCCAGCTGGGGCGAGTTGATGGAGATGCTAGTTTCTGCGAGTCTGGGAGAGGATCGCACTTTGTACGTTATGTTTCTGTAGCCAGGAAGAGAGGACTAACAAGGTATCAAAGCCAGCTTTAAGCTGTGACAGCAGAACAAAACCAAATGCCAAGAGGCCGTGCCGAAGTATCCAGGGATTAATTTAAGGGCAATCGCACTCTTCCAAAGGTGCTCCACCGTGGAACGGGCCTGCACTAATCATTCCAATGGGCTAGCTCTGGAGAGACAGACAAGGTGTTCCTGCCTCTCCCGTGGCCCCCCACCCCTCCCAGGAAAGGAGGGATGACTGAGAAGGGCCTACCCACAATGCTGCTCCCCAAGCAAAAGGAATGTGTAGGTAGGTTCTGGAAGGAGGTCACATGCACCCTGCCTGGCCGATTGCTTGCCAAGGCTTTTGGTTCCTACTCATCCCCAAATTTGGTCTTAACAAAATGTAGCTTTAGGTAAGGTTTAAATCTTATCTAATTGGATACCTAGAACTACTTATTAATTTACTCTTTTTTCATCTTGGTTCTCACCACAACTAACTTAATAATATGTACACAACGTACACATGTACATTCGGCAGGCTCTAAGTTTATTCTTTTAGGAAGCACAAATTGAATGTGCTTTGGACTGTTTGCCTTGGATGGTCAAGTTAACAATGGCTCCCAATCATCTAACATTTAAATATCGGACAATGTGCCAAGCATTTTATATGCATTATATCTTGTTAAATTTAGATCCCTGCAATACTCTTATTACTGGTATTACTATCTCCATTTTAGGGAAAGTAAATGGAGACAGAGAGAGGTTAGGGGACTGGTCCAAGCTGACCCAGGCAGGAAGTGGGGAGCCATGCCCCAAACCCGATTCAGCCCCCAAAGCCTGTGCCCTTGACCACTGAGCGAGTCTGAGGTAACCCATCTGAATAGCAGGGGCCGTCGCCGGGAAAGGCAGGGCCGGCCTGCCTGTGTGCTCGGGGGAGACCAAGCTCCCACTCCAGAGCATCTTCTCATTTTCCTTTTGCTCCTAGCCCACGGCGGAGGGAGCCACCGCCTTGTTTCACCCACTGAAATCCAATCTTTGATTCCCGCACTTGTGTTTCAGGTTTGACCAAATGTGGCCCCTTTGACCCAGTGAGCACACTAAAGACTATTATCCTTTGTGTAAACAACTTTTGCTTTTCTCTTTGTCCTGAAACCTGAGTTTGGAGGACAGATTAACAGTAGCAAAAGCAACGAGCTCCTGCCGACTGAGAGGTGGAAGCACCCATACTACAAGGAGAAACATCGTTTCCCTTAGGGCTCTTTAGCTCCTCTGTGCCTCAGTTTCCCCACATGCCAAACAGGTGGGCCCCACTGGTTTGCACACGGTAGGTGACAGTGCTAAAAAAAAGGTCTGCCTCTCAATAGCTGGCTTCTGTTAAGTGGCACTGGTAATAAAAGTTAACTGAAGATGAATTATGATAATTGAGCAACAGTAAGGCGTGCTTCTCATGTGTCTTAAATTAACGGTGGATTTTAAAAGGACAACAAAGATCAAATTAGGGATTGCAGTATGAATCAGCAGGCGGGTTTATGGGAGACAAGCTCACACTGAGGGATGAGAGACCTGGGAGCACCAGGCTAAATGCCCACATGTTAGAAGCCATTCATGTCACTTCCATCTGATGCCTGAGGAAACTGCCCCTTTGTTTTAAACACTAAACATTTATTCCTCCCCACTCCCTTCCCCCACAAGATTTGGTTCTACTGTGAAAGATCAAATTCTTTTCGTTTTAAATTAATTAATTAATATTTTAATTAGTCTCCTCTTGCTGCCCCGAGTCCAATGGTGAGTTTCCCAAACCTTCTGAATGGTAAGAATCACCTGGGATGACTGTTCTGGGTGAACCTCTGGGGAGGTAAGGGTCTGGTAATCTTTAACAACCGTCCAGGGTCACACTCAAAAATGGACACATTTGAAGAAAACCACAGTGAGAAGTAAGTATGTGCATTATAAATTACTCAGAAAAAGTAGAAAATGAAAAGAAATCATCCCCAATTCTACAACCACTGTGAACATTGTGCTATATTTTTTACATTTTTTTTTTTACGCATGATGTTTTTACATGGTTATGATCAATTATGCATTCAATTCTGAAAGCTGCTTTTACCATCTAACATAGAAACACAGAAACTTGTACTTTTTGGAGAAGACCATAACCTTTAAGGCCATTTAAAATTTAAAAAGAAGCAAAAAATTATTTTCCAAGGATATTCATTCACTTACCCTTTAGTATGTTTGTGATTCTTTAACAAAAGAAACTTTAAACAGAAGAGTGTCTATGTAGCTGTTGACCTTGAGCAGTTAACAGTTACATAAATGAATCCAGAACATGTGGTTATTGATCTACAAATAAGTAATTAAATAAAAAACAAGGAAAATACTTACTATGCACCAGATGACAAAGGAAATTTCAAACTTGTGAGGGAAACTAAAAATGGACAGGCCAAGAAATGCAAACACACATGTTTCTGAAACAAACCAAAGAATGGATTATTCAGCCCCAACTATTTTCTTCTGACAGGGTACTCGATCATTAAAGCAAGCAAACATTTCACAGTGAGTCAGAATCCACTATAACACTTCGCTTATTTTCTGAAAAATCCTGCATCCGATGCCTTGGTGGGAACTGTGCTTCGATTCGCTCGTTCTCTTCTATCACACGAGCCACACGTGCTTGCTTATTCAGAATCTCCTCAGTTAACGATCCAGCTGTCAAATACCCATGCAAATAAATACTCTCCCACCGGGGAAGATGATAAATATATGAATCTGCCCATTTGTTGAACAGTTATTAGCAAGGATCCCAACTGCAGCAAAGTGGCAAAAATTCAGAGCAAATGACTGCAGGTACCACATAACTAGTGTGAAAAGGGCCCTCGGTTCACTTCCTTGCCAGGGCGGCCAAAGCTAAATGAGTGACTTCACGCATTTGATGCTGCCACAGGTTTGGAAGATGGGCTTGTACCCGCAGGATCTGCAGGAAGAGGGGCATTTCCAACCCTTGGCTTCACTCCACAAGTCAGAAAGAGTCCGACACCTACTCTCTGGGCAAGCAGGTACTTGTGTATCCAACAAAAAGCACCATATGAATTTCTAGCACTAGGCTCCCTGTTATCACTGTGACGTCCCTCAGAATAGGCTAATAATCAGGGAGACAAGGACTGTATTTTAAAATAGTTGAACATCATAAAACAGAGAGGCTGTTTTAAAACACTTCAGCCATGTTCTTCTCTGAACATGTATCTTTTTAAAACAAGTCTGCAAGCTGGATAGTACACACACCCTTCTCCTCCTTGAATTTTTTTATCTAATAAACATTTTTGTGATCTTTCCAAATCAGCTCATTTAGAACATACTCAGACTATGTTATGCTTTTCCCTGGCGGCATAAATTCCATCACATTGGTATGTCATGGCTAATTTAACAAATCCCGTGTCAATGGACACTGAGGCTGTTTCTATTGCTGATATTACCAGTTACAGCAAATATCCAGGCTCCATTCCCGAGGGTAGCTCTGCTGGGTCAAAGAGCACACGGCTTTGAAACCCAGCCTGACACTGCAATGACTCGCCACAAAAGATGGCATCAGGGCCCGTGCGTGTCAACGGGGCCTGCTTCCCATATGCTTGTGCTGGAAGTGGGTATTAGCAAAACTGAGACATGCCAGTCTGATGGGTACAAAATAGCTGGGTGTTTTGCTTTATATCCCTTTAAGTGTGACAGTCGGGCTCAGAGACCTTCGCTAGGACTTTGTGAGTGGGGAGCTGTGGAAAAAAGACCCCCTGGACCAGGAAGACACAGACCTGGAATCCAAACTCACTTCTTAGCCACGAGGCTGTGGGCAAGTCATCTGACCTCTGGGCACCTGAGCCCCCTTGGCTGCGGAAGGAAGCCTCTGCATGGCCCACCCCGGTCGCCTAGCGCATGACAGCGCAGAACCAGTGCTGGAAAATGAGACGAACCCCGCCACAGCGCCAGGGAGATGCTGCTGAGGACAGCTAGGGCACGGCCACCAGGAGGCCAGCGGAAGGGGACCGTGGGAGAGCGCATCCTTCGCTGCCAGGTATAAACCAGGGAGGAGGCGGGGGGTACAGCAGCGTGTGGGGGAGCAAGAGCTCATACTGAAACTGCTTAACAGAAAGAGTCTCCGCGGTGGACCCCATCCAGCAATTACAGGGCTGGCACACAGGCACCCGAGTCATGCCCTTCGAGCCGCTCTCGTGGGAAAGGGGCCTGTGGACAAGTTGGGAAAAAGCTGTAACGCTGTCCCCTTCTCAGCAACTCACAATGTGCGTCAGCTCACAGTGCTCTTGCAGCCCCCAAACTGAAAGTGTGTATCCCCCAGGATTTTCCAGACTCTTGTTTGACTGTGGAGTCTTATCTCACCTAACCCTCACCGATGCCAGTGCCAGGGGACACATTTTTGGAAATGTCACCTTACAACGTTGAAACGTATCAGTCTCCAATGTTCATGTTTAGTAGTTCTCATTATTTTTGGTCTTAAAATTACAGGAGTCCAATGTTCCAGAAAGTTATCAGGAGTTAGGTTTATGTTATTGAATTTGAAAGCCAGAGTAATAAACAAAAGATAAGGGAGAGAAGTATCTGGCTCTAAGGAATTCTGCTGCCTCTCCTGCCAGGGAAAAGAGGGTGTGGCTGAACGACGGGCCGTGGGCAGGCCTGCGCGGGACCACACAGAGGCAGAACTCACCGCACAGGAAGGCCACGGTCCGAAGGGTCTGCTGCATGAGGATCTGGGTGACCGGGGACAGGTTATGGTGCGTGTAGTGGGACATCACGATGCCTGAGAACAGGATGGCCATGATGCCTAGAGAAGGACAAAGAGGCAAAGCACACAGACATGAACAGAGCAGAAAAGCACCTGCTATGTGATACACAAATAATATCGCACATTTTCTACAAGTCACTGGGCCCTACAGTGGTACATGTTTTCAGAAAAAGGAAAAGAAAAGGGGAAGAAAGTACTACCCGAGGTCTCCCAGAGGCCGCAGAGAAATGCTATGGGCCCCCTGTCTCTGGCAGCTTCCTTACCGGCTGGGTGACCTTGGGCCAAGCTTCATTCCCTCTCCAAGCCTCAGCTTTCTCATCTGGGCAGTGGGACTAACAGCACCCTCTCTGGACCTGTCAGGAGGGTAATGGGGATAAGCCATGTACACTGTCCGCCACAGGCCCCGGGCTGAGCAGATGTGAGCTGTCACTGTCACCCACGGATGGAAGGGGTGCAGGTGAACCACTCTTGGGGCAGAAAGGGAGCGTAAGAATCTGGATGTGGAGAATGGGTGGATTTTTATTTACTTTTTTTTAAATTTTCCCTTAATCACCACGAGTTACTCTTATAAAAAGAGAGAGGAGTGACTAAAAAAGGATCTGCGTCTTTTCCTGAAAGCTCTCCACAAGAGTCTACACTTCCTGTTGCTCACTCAGGATTGATCTCTGCATGGCCCACTGCCCCTAATCACTCCCAAAGCGCTTTGCACGGATGGGTTAGTTACCTCTCAATGCTGCCCTGCCTTGGCAGCAGAAAGGGGGCCTCATTTTCAGGTAAGGAAGATGAGATTTTTACAAACTCATTAAATAAACTGCTAAAATGTATCGATTACGAGGGAAAATTCGTAAGCAAAATTGTAGCTCACTCCTGCCACTTCGTAGAGAGAGGGATGCCTAGCTGACTCTCCATTTGGAAAGGGTGAAAATCACCCAACTGCATCGGAACCATTTCAAGGGCTCAGCTTGAGGTCTCAATGATACCCCCCACCCCACCAAGGGCAGGCCCACCCCCTTGTGTGAATAGCAAATTCCTGTGTTCTTTCATTCTTCCCTGCCAAGGAAGCTGGCCAGGAACATTCCAGCAATGCTTCCCAGGGGCACACCTGACAAGATGGGACAGGGAAAGGAGAGGGCAGGCTTTCCGTGGTCCTTGAGGGCACTGGGAAGACTATAGCTCATGAGACGTGAACCGCTGCTCTGCTAGGTAAGAACGCACACACCGGGACCTCCGGCTGTTTCCCAGTATGCTCCTGCAGGCATTGGTGGGGGGGGACCCCCCCGGACTGCTGACCCTTCCTGACACTGCCACAGAATACAGGGAAGGCAAAGCAATGTGAGACAGAAGGGAAGAGACCAGAACCTGAGACTGGAACCCCATCGAACGGCGGTGGGGCAGCTCACCCCGGCTCAGCCCAGGCCCGTGATGGGCACTGCACGTGGCTTAGCCTCACGACCCCGACGGTTCCATGAGGGGGTGCTGTTAGTCCCGGTGTCCAGATGAGCAAGCTGAGGCTCAAAAGCGGCACGGACACACTTCAGTTTTTATGGACTTGATCCTTAGCATCACCGTCCGGGGCGAAAAGTTCCTAGCTTTTGCACTTCCAAAGGGTTTTCTTTCACTCGTTCGCTTTGAGAAGGGTTATCAAGTCACTGGCAAAGCTGAGACCTTGGAGTTCTTACCTTGATGTAAAAGTCAACCCCAGAGGTGCCTGAGCCACGTTTAGGCTGTGACACGAGTGGCCTTCCATCGACAGTGTTGTCCCGCCCACAGGAGTCCCAACACGAAATAACCTCTCTGGAAAGCTCTGGGAAGTCAGAGGTGACAGTGAAAGTTGCCTCGGGACTGAACACCAGCACCCATTGCCGGAGCACCAGGGAGCTTTCCTGCCCACCCTCCGGCGCAGCCCGCCTCAGCGCTCTGCAGCAGGGGGCAGGCTCAGCGCAGGAGGGGTCTGGCTGGCTGGGTCACTCTGGTGCACTAGGCCAGGGCTGGAAACCCAGAAGCTTCAGGAGCCGGACAATAAAGAAAAAAGAAGGGTGACCAACATGTGGGTAAAGAAAGCATAAGCCCATCTAGAAAGTTCTGCCCGCAGCCCTGTGGATGGGAGGCCTAAGTGCTGTCAGTCTTCCTTCCGGCTTTTGGAGAGATGCCAGAAATGTTTCTTATGGGAAATCTCCCAGCTTTTAATGACGGCAAATAACTCAAATGTTAATAAATTTTCTGTACAGATAAACAACCCCCTCTGGAGGCTGAGTTTGGACCCTATGAAAATGGGCCCTCTGGCTGGTGAACAGCCAGCCACCACCTTTACCCCAGGCTAGTCTGAGGTCAGGGCATCTCTTGAGTTCTGGGGGCTAAAGCAAAGGGTCAGCAGCATCAGCAGTGGATGCGAAAGCCCGAGGGACAGCTCAAGTGTCTGCCCTATGAGCCCTCCCTCAGCAAAGGTAGCTTCTCCAAGCTTCTCCACCACCCAGACCACCCTCATCCACTGTAGCTGCCACCACACGGGCTGTAAAAACACCGATGGGTAAGTGGTGCAAACAGGCTCACTTGTAGAGCTAAAAGGCATGGGTATTTTATTTTATTTATTTTTTATTTATTTGACAGGGAGAGAGGGAACACAAGCAGGGGGAGCGGAAGAGGGAGAAGCAGGCTTCCTGCGGAGCAGGGAGCCCGATGCGGAGCTCGATCCCAGGACCCTGGGATCATGACCTGAGCCGAAGGCAGACGCCCAACGACTGAGCCACCCAGACGCCCCTTTTATTTTATTTTAAAGACTATTTATTTATTAGAGACAGAGAGAGACAGAGCACGAGTGGGGGGCAGAGGCAGACACTTAACCGACTGAGCCACCCAGGCGCCCCAAAGCATGTGTATTTTTAAAAATGCCCTATAAGGAAGAATTCCTGACACATGTATTTCTTTTAGAAGGCAAAATCATTTGAGGAAGTAGATAATAGCACAGCAAAATGGACATCGTCAAGGAAGGAAAGAAGGAAAGAAGGGAGGAAGGGAGGAAATCCATTTCTAGTTTCAGTTAAATCCACTATTTTAAATGTCACGAACAATGATGATGAATAGAGACTCAAGTCCAAAGGCAGAAGGTGAAGGGTGTCTATCGTGGTATAACTTCCACTGTATTGCACCTTACTGTGGGTAAAATATGATGAACTTCCCGAAGGCTGGATCAAACCACAGTTTTGTTAATTACCTTAAAATAAAACTGTTTTGCTATAAAACATCCAGACTCAGAGATATAGAGTCAGAGACTCTCCATTCACACTGTCTTGCCCCCAGGTAACTACTATTAACAGTTCCCCATGTAGGCCGCCAGTTCTTTGCCCATGCTATAACAAAGCTCATCTGCCTTTAAAAAGCACAAAATAGGAGGATCACATTATGGATGCAGCATGGATTACCAGCAGAGGGATTTTTAAAAGGCCTCAAACACTTAACCTGCCTTTGCACATATAACAGAAACCCAGTTCCTTCCCGGGCCTACAGAACCCTGCTGGCCAGGGCCCCTGCCCCTCTGTCCCAGCCACGCTGGTCTTCTTGCTCTTCCTGGAGTGTGCCAAGCTCCCTCACGGTGATCTGGATGCTGAACACTGCTCAGCACTGCTGCCCCAGGTCCTCCCTTGGCTGGCTTCTTCTCACCACACAGGTCTTGGCTCAGGCACCACCTGTTTGGGGAGACCTTCTTGACCCCCTACTGCATGATGCGTCTGTCCCCATGCCACTGTCACATTGCTCTGATTTCTCTCCTTCCTGTCACTTCTTCACTACCTGAAATTACCGTGTGTTCGCTTACTTGCTTGCCATCTTTCTTCGGCAGGTGGGAACCTCATCTGGTCTTGTTTACTAAGGACAGCCCCAGTACCAAGGACAGTTCTTGGCATTTAATAAGTATCTGCTGAATGGATGAATAAGTGGCTTTCCAGCTTTTTTTTTTTTTTAAAATTTGGCAATATATCTTAGAGTTCTTTCCATGGCAGCACAAATAGGTCAAATTCATTTATTCAGTGGCTGCACAGAATTCCATACTGAGAACCAACCCCAATGTACTTCGTCTTTCCTAGCACTAGTGGCTTGCAGGTTTTCTCCCACAGGCAGGGCTGCAAAGGAACCCCTGGCTGCGCCCCTGAGCTCGGGAGAGCTGCACAGCACGTTCTACCTTCGGCCCACATCTCCCCCACCTGACACAGAGGTTACGTCCCATCCTCTGTGACTCACCATGACAGTGTGTCACTCTGCCCCAATCGCCCTCCCTCAGCCCACTGTTGGCTGAATTGGCAAAGGTGGGGTCTAGTCAACCCTGAATCTTCAGAGCCAGAGGGCAAAGTGGCCCTTGAAACTGGCCTCAGTGAATAGACCAGTTAACGTTGATAGAATTAGAACAAAGATTCTGAGAATAGCTAATACTTACTAACTCATAATTAGGGGGACTATTTAATTTGCTGTTGAAACCAGGATGTCTGTGAGTGAAAGGGGGTGTCATTAATACATGTTGAGGGTGTTAGGGCCAGCAGGACATGTCACCCCAGCATGCCTCTGTCAGGATTCTTACTCGCATTGTTCCCTTTAACCCTTGACCACCGGCCCTGGGGTGGCCCTTTTATAACGTCTATTTCGTGAGGAGGAAGTGGATGCCCAGAGTGGTTAAGTCGACTGTGTGAGGTCACACAGCTAATGAGGGGCGGGGCAGGGATTCAAACCCTGGTCTGTCTGGCGTCCTTAACCGTTGTGTCCTAAACACGTGATTCGGAAGACAGCATCCTGCTGTATTCTTGGTAACTGCTCACTCAGTCCTTTGTGACAGGAAAAGTACAGCAGGAAAAGGAAGGGAGGATAGCAAACATCACCTTTCCCGCTGTACTCTCACAGCAGGACTCGAAGGTCCTCACAACACCCCAGGACTATCCTACCCTTGTCTGAAAACCCTGTGTGACAAATATCCCAAAGACAAACATGGGCAGAGCCCAGCCAACTGCCCAGAGGTGGCCGAGCATGCTCTTGGCTCGCATGTGCTGTCTTTGGCCTCACTGCCCACTGGCATGTTTGGCAAAGGCCCTCAAAAAAGTGAAACCCTACAAACAGAAAACACTGCCACTCTGAAGACAAGAAAAACACTCCCTGGTTTTAATCACAAATTCCAAATGGATGCATGAAATACATCTTTGTCACCAGGTACTCAGTGTTCATCTCAAAGGGGTGGGGAACAATTTAGAAAAACAGAGGTAAAAATAGCCAGGCTAGAGCCAAATGACTCACAGGTAATGTTTATGTAAGTAAGTGCCAAAATTCAGGAAAGATAAGAGAAGGAACTCGATGGCAGATACTGGGATGAAATTATCCAAGAGAACTGGCTTGGGAACAAATCAAATTAAGAACAAACAAAACCATAAGGTTTACAAAGAGTTCTCCAGTGAAAATGGCCAGAGTCCTCTCTGCTTCCTCCTTGGCAGGATCTGCTCACCGAGTACCCGCGTGTAATTCTAGAGAGCCATCTGTGGGGAAGGAGAATTCTGCTCAACAGAGTCATTAAAAACCACTGGGGACTTCCACTTTGCTATACAAACTGCTGTCCTGCCATAAACAACTAGAAAACCTGATCAAAGATATGAAACGAAATTGTCTTCTGACGCTGGGTACTGCAGGGTAGGGCTGTCAGAAGGGAAACATTCCTGACAGAAAGGAAACAAAGCGGCCATTCCTGCTCCAGGCCCCCGCCCAGCTTACTGCCCAGACAGAGCTTCCGGGCTGAGGCTCAGGGATGGGAACTCCAAACCCCAGCCCAGCAGAGTCAAGTCTAGCTGAGAAGAGGAGACAGATGAGAGCCAAGGGACCCAAAGCAGCCAGAATGCCAGAGAAGGGGGGCTGCACAGAAAGAGAGCTCTGGAGAGCTACCATAGTGTCCCCTTGAATCTTGGATTGTGCTGATCTGTACACATGTGGGGTGAGATCCTATGTACACATGTGGGGTGAGATCCTAAGAGGCTAGGGAGACGATCACTAATAAGGAACAGGCCAAAAATTCCCAAAGCAGACACAGGGCTGGGAAGTTTGTGTTCCCACAGGCCAGAGTGGGGTGACCTTGTAATACAGGAGACAGGAGGTAGAGTCCTTGGAAGGGCACTGCATTACTTCCTAGGGCTACTCCGGACCTGCTGACAAAGTTTGAAAGTAAACCTCAAAAGGATTAAACTGATGCCAAGAAACTTGGATACACGACGGAAGAAAATCCAAAATTCTATGAAGAATACAATAAAATCTAGTACTCAACAAGATAATAAAGTTTACAATGACTGGCATTCAATGAAAAATTAATAGGCAAGCAAAGAGCAGGAAAATATGACTTATAAGCAAAAGAAAGGTGAACTGACAGAAAAAGACCTAGAACTGATGGAGATGATGGAATTAGCAAATAAGGACGTTAGAGCTGCTGTTATAAACATGCTCCAGATGCTCGAGAATGTAGAGACAATCATAAACATGGTAAAGAGAGAAATGGATGAAATAAAAATGACCTAAAGGGTGGATGAATAGTACACATTTGAAGTGGAAAATACACTGGATGGGACTAACAGGACAGTGGGCATGGCAGAAGAAAAGATCCGTGAACATAAAGACAGAGCAAGAGAAATGAGCCAAAGTAAAGCACAGACAGAAAAAAAAAGACTGAAAAAATTTAAAAAGGCAAAGTGTATTATGGGATGATAGAATGCTGTCAATCGTAATTTCAGTAATTGGAGTCCCAACAGAAGAAGAGATGGGAGAACAGAAAAAAGTGTTTGAAGAAATGGGTAAAAATTTCCCAAATTTGGTGAAAAGCTACAATCTCATAAATTATAAACCCAAGAAGCTCAATGAACCCCAAGTGGAATATAAAGAGAATTGTACCAAAGTATGTCAAAATCAAATTGCCACACACTATCAGAATGGCTAAACCTTTAAAAATTAAAATAAGTGTTGATGAGGACAGGAAGCAGCTAGAACTTTCTCATGCATTCTGGTGGGGATGGAAAATGGCCCAGTCATTTTGGAAAACACTTGGCAGTTTCTAATAAATATATACTTACCATATGACCCAGCAACCTCACTCTTAGGTATTTACCCAAGATAAATGAAAATATGCACACATATTCATAGCTAAAATCTGGAAAAACCCGAATGTCCTTCAAATGAACGAATAAAACGTGGTGCAGTAAGAATGTATAAAGTACTGACACGTGCAAAAACATGGATGTCTCTCAACAACATTATGATAACTAAAAGAAAGGAGACACAAAAGTCTATATACTATGTGATTTCATTTGTAGGCAAAACTATCGGGATAGAATGCAGATCAATGGGGGTCACGGCCCAGGGCCAGGCCAGGGGACTGACCGCCCTTGGCAGTCTGACCCCATTCTTTGAGTGAAGGCCCTTTTAGGCTTTGTTCTGGGAAAGACACAACACTGGAAGTGATACTTTGACCTCTGCTACAGGGTGGTGGGTGAAGAAAAAATGTGACCATGACAACACTGAGCCCCTGAATCCAGCCAGGTCTAAACTCAGAGGTATCCCTAAAGGGCCAGTAAATCCCCTTTGTTGCTTAAGCTCTTCTGAGTTGTGATTGTCTCTTGTGACTGGAAGTGACCCCACTGACATAACCTCTTTCAAAAGGCAGGACAACGTGCCATCAACCCCAGAAGTTAATGTTTCTGTCACTTACCCGAGAGTGAGATTCCTTCTGCAAGCCCGTAAGGAAGATAAGCAAAAATGATCATCATGCCAAACTCCAAGGAAGGCGTTTTCCTCAAGTCAATATGCTTTAGCACGTAAATAACAGTTGTCAAGGAAAAAGAACCAAGGGACAGTTGATGGGAGATGCAGAAAAGTCACAAAACTGCTGCCTTCCAAATACATAGGGTAGGCAATGGATCCGGAAGGCTTTGGAACATCCCAGGGTAACACGTGAAGATCCGTTGTTGTTTTCTTTTTCTTTGCAGGGAGACTGCTGTTTTAAGTAAGGGAATCTGACAAAACACTAACAACTGTAAATTCCTGAGACAAATGGTGGGCGAAAAATTAAAATCAACCTAAGTCAACTCACTTAAAAACGCTGACTGGGAAGGCTGGTAATGTGCCGGGGCTGCGGGGGCAAAGCCGGGGCCACAGCCAGCCAGAGGACAGCCCATGCTGCCGGGTCCCTTCCAGGGCCGTGTCACTCTTTCCCCCCTTCCTCCAACATCAGATGAGACAGCTAACGGGGTGTGAACTCTGGGGTAAAGTGCCCCACTGAAGGACCTCCTTTCATATTCCTGGAGATTTCCAAACTCATGCTCCTCCGAAAGGAGAATCTTCTCTCTATTCAAATACAGCTCACATGCCCATACTGGGGCTCGCAGTGCCCAGCTACTTGGCTTCCTTACAGCCGATGCTTCTCCGTCCCCCCTCCCCCAAGAGAAAGATAAATATGGAGGAAAATACTGAACTCGAAAAAGTTTTCTTTCCCATTCTGTTTATTGCTACAATATGAGAAGCTGTCAGCCAACAATGGAGCCTCTAGACTTCTGGACAAAGGAGGTGAAGGGAAAATTCAACAGGACGGCAGACGAACATGCCCGTCACAGGCAAGGGTGGCTCTTCCGGCCATCTGTGGAACAAACTGCTCGTGGAGGAGGGCCAGGTGGCCAACTCCCTGAGACACAGGCTTGGGCTCCCACAGAAACGGTCTGGTGCCTGTTCCTATTTTAAACATGACGAATTTTCTACCGCAATGAAGGTGTCATTGGCCTTAATGAGCCTCGTTCCTCCTCGGCTAGAAAAGCGTATGGGCCGTTGAGCAGTGCAATCAGTGTGAATACCCTGGATGGACTCATTTTGAAAGTCTCTTTTCTGGTCCCCCAGATAAACGCTCTCAGTTGGGTAAAGACCTTCTCAATTTGGTCATTAAGAGGAAATTAATTTCCAGTTTTCTGACTGTGAAAAGTGAGACAGGGGAACCTGAGAATCTTCTCAAGTGAGAAGCTCCCCCAACGGTGGGGTCTGAGAGCCAATGGTGTGCGTGACCATGACGCTCTGAAAAATGACATCCTAAATTGCACACGTCACATCTAAAAGTCCTTGGGTTTCAGTGAAAGTGCTCCTCAAACCAAAACTACATAAAGGTCCTTCTTCAAACGCAGCCTTAGACTAAAACTGGCCCCTTAAGGAAGAGGGGAAAATGGCTGGAGAAGAATATAATTAAGAAAATCTTCTCAGCCACATGTGTTCATCATATTAAAAGGATATTAATGCAGAGATTAAGCCAGTGAGAGTGCCGAGTGCTGCTGAGCCAAAGAACATTTTGAGGAAGTAGCCAAGGGCTTGTAAAAATGTTTGCCACCCACTGACATCTGACATATTTTTCCTCGTTAAACCTTCAGCTGTGCTAGGAAATAAAAGAAAAACAGAAAGAAGTTAAAATGTTATAGGCAAAGTTATTAGAAATCAACTAAAACTCAAAACTTATTATTATTTATTTTTTTTGCTTATGCGGTCCTTTATTCCTAGGTCACTTACGTGTTCACCTAGTTTGTGAACTAACACCTACTGTGTTAGCTTTTGGAGGGGGGCGGATTCAGAGAGGAGAGCAGAGTCCCTGCCCTGCAAGGGCTCCTTCTATCTGGTAAGGAAGACAAACAAGGTGAGAACAAATGACCACCTCGGGGTAAGGCAAAGGGCTGCAGAAACACAGGGTGGGCATCTAATTCAGTCCGGTGGTGGTCAGGGAAGGTTCCTCCTGACATGTGGGCTGGGTTCAGATTTAGAAAAAGAAGAGTTAACAGGTGAAGAAATGAAGTGTCCCAGGCAGAGGGAACAGCACATGCAGAGGCAGGGAGCCCAAGAACACACAGCACATTCTGGGAGCATTCAATTACGTAGATTAGCATGGCTAGAACCCAGGAATGGGATGGGGTGGAGGCACCGGTGGGGAGAACAGTGGCAAGAGGGAAGGCAAGACCAGCTGCCATGGCGGACCTGTGAAAGGCAATGAACCAAGCTAAGGAGTTGGTATTTCACCCCGAAGGCCCCAGGGAACCATGGGGAGTGCTTCCAGTTGCGGGGGTGGGTAGGATCCTGTGATAAAACCTGGAATTGAAGTGATGGCAGAAAATCTGAGAATGGAGCAACCCTAAAGAAGAAATGTCACTGGGTAAGGGCTGAGAGTAGATTTAGGAGGCATTAGGAAGAAGAACCGAAAGAACTTTCCTTCCAGGATAACAAAACAAAGTAAAATGTCAGAAGCCATTAAATTCAATTAATGCTTTTATCCCCAAAGGGAAAACCATTACACCATGACGATGGAGTTACTCTCATTAAAGATCCTCCTGCTAATGGATTCTACCTTCAGACTACCTCTCAAATCCATCTACTTCTCCCCCTCTCTCTCCTTACCATCCTCTGTCCCGGGCCTTACGCTCTTTCTAAACATCCTTGTCTTCCTTCCACTCACTGGCCTGGATGATCCCTTTAAAATGCACAATCTGATCAGGTTACTGGCCTGTCCAAACCAATCAACAGTTTCCTACTGCTTTTCAGGAGGAAGCCCAGTCAAAGCAACACCTGACTCCTCTGTCTGCCATACCTTGTGACCCCATCTCCTCCTCATTCAGGAAGGGCTCCACTGTCAAGGGCACCCCTCTGTAGGTCATCTTTCACTGCTCCCTGGCCCCAGCTAACTCCTCAGAACCCAGGGTCAGTGTCACTTCCTCAGGGACACCTGCCCTGACCCCTGACCCCTTCACAGTCTACTGTCTCCTGGTACCTGACTTCTTCACAGCAAGTGCCAACTCATGAGTCATTCATGAGGACCATGCCTGTGTCCACCTTGTTCACTGCTACATGTCCAGGGCCTAAGGCAGAGCCTAGTATACAAAGACACTCAGTAAATTTTTGCTGAATCGGTAAGCAAAACAAAGAATTGTCAATAGAAATATTTAGCTTCATTAATCAGCGTTTCATGAACTGGTATAATTTTGAAGTAGGATAATCTCTGATAAAAGGGTAGCTTGGTCAAATAACCTCAGGAAGCTTTCAGGGGTAACAGTGTAACATAATAAAGGTTCTGAAAAGTCCTGCAAAAAAAAGAAATCTATCTTTTTTCACATAGAAGTTTTCCAAATCACTTGAATGCACAACCTCCTACATCCCCTACCTTCCCAGCAGACCACAGGTTAACACCCCACCTTGGGGAGTGCGGTGAGCCAACAAGGGTTCTCACTGGGCAAGTGTTTTTGAAGGCTAAGCTTACCCACAGTTCCCAAATGGATCTGCAGGCCGCCTGCACACAATGCCCAGCCCCCACCCCTTAAAGCTGCCACGGCTGGTCCACCGGTTGGGGCCACTGCTTTCTTTTCATGCAGACACCCCACGGAAGTGACTCACTGGTGAGGTCGCATCAAGGGTTGACAGCAGACCCAGGACAGAGGCCAACAGTTTCTGAACTCAAGATAACTGAAAGTAGAATCTGGACTCTTTCTGGCCTGGTCAATTTCTACGTTTTTTGTTTCTCACACTTAAAAGAACACGAGGCAATGGGGCTTCAGGATCCATTTCATGAGCTTACACCGCAGCTCAAGAGCACAAAAAAGGTTTCCTCTATAGCAGTTATTATAAGAATAAATTGTCATACTAACAAATCAAAGCTAAAACTAATTTAATTAAAGTTAATGAAGAAACAGAAGATAGCTTTCTGGCACTTACGAAAATGAAAACATCAAAAAAGGGGTATAATTCATTCGCATATTCAGCTGCAAAGATAAATGTGTCGGGTCGCTTTGGGAGCGATCATTTATGAAGTAGACTCTCAAACAAGATGTGAGTCTACCTAGTAACCAAGGAAGGCTGACAACAGCCCCCTCCTGTACCGCTCCCCTGCCCCCCAAAAGAGGCAGGCCTATCATGCCCCCCCTGTCTCTCCAACCTGAAAACGCCTACCGGCTCACAAGACAACTTGGCTGAGAAGCCTCACTCCAATCCCTCAGAGCGCTGTCTCCCTCCTGTACTCCAGGCACTGCGCTCACCCCTCTGGGAGCATCCTTCTCCCACCTTGGACTGACCTTGGCAAGTCCAGCTGGTCTCTGAGCGATGTCTGGCACGTGGACGGCCCTCGCCAGACGCTGCGGGTGGACAGCCAGTCTTTATCACGCCCCACCCCAGCCTGTAGACCAGCAGTGGTGGAGGTGGGGGCTGGACACCACATATGCATGCGGCCCACAGATCCAGTTTTGGGAACTGTCATCACAGGCGATCTTGGCCTTCAAAAGCACTTTTCCAGGAAGAAACTTTGGCTGTTTACAGTGACTCCATCTTTTCTCATTTTCAAAAGAAAATAGCTCATCTTTAACCTTCTTGTGGCAAAGAGTCCTAGAGAAGCTCGGAAAAGGTCCTACTTCTGACAGATTTTTAAAAACAAAATAAATTAGAGACAAAGCAGTTGAGTTGAGCTCCTAATGGATAAAAATAACTCATAATGTCACCACCAATTTGGACAAAATTCTTTATCACAAATGTTCAATACGTGCAGCCACCAGGACACGAGACAAAAGTCAAAACCCGAAAGCAAAAAGGCTTTCAGGGTAGATCTTAAATAAGAAAAAATATTGCCATCAGATTTTTAAAAGGTCTTAAGCATGATGTCTGATAATTGCCTAATAAAGCTATAGAACTTTTTGCCAAGAGAAACGTGAAAAAGCCAATAGTGAGGAACTTGCTAAATAGATCACAGTAAGCTCACAGAAAGGAATATTCTGTAACCAGTAAAATGAGGTTATGGAAGATTATTTTTCAACTCTGCTCAATGGAAGAGTTATAATACAATATATGGGGTATAAGCCCAGCTAAATAAAACATATGTATACTTCCAAATTGTTAACTGTAATTATCTCTGGGTAGTAATAATGCATGTACTCTCTCACTCTCTCTCTCTCTGTGTTTTCTAAATTTTATATGAAGATTATATGTATTACTTTTAGAATAACAAAAATATTTTAAAGTATTTTTGTTTTAAGGTCTGCTAATCTCCTCTTGCAATTAAGCAACATTTGGTAAAGTTCTCCCTGCAAAAGTAGGACAAAACTAGGACAAACACAGGAAACAGTAACTGGGGGACAGGCGTAGAAGAAGAAAGGAACTAACATTAACTAATGTCCGATGCTTCTCATACAGTATCGTATTTATTCAATCCTCAAATCCAATCCTAGGCTGAGGCATTATCACCCTCACTTTACTGCTGAGAAACATGTGGCTCAGAGAGGTAAAGGAGCGAACCCAGGATCACACAGCTGTTAAGTGGCATCACTGGGACTTGAACCCAGGTCAGCCCAATTTCCAAAATCTGGGTTCCTTCCACTATAAAACATTGTTTTACTCCAACATAAAGATTCTGAATGTAGTCCATAATAAAGCTTTTAAGAAAATGCCAACTACTACAGAGTGGCTGTGCTTAGCCAGGAATCCTCCAACAAAGGAAACAAGTCGGTATTCAGATAATGGAAAGTCTATTCTTTTTTTTTAAAGATTTTATTTATTTATTTGAGAGAGAGCAAGCACATGAGAGGGGGGAGGGTCAGAGGGAGAAGCAGACTCCCTGCG